ATCTTTATTAATTGGTCTATGTCAACATCTTTATTCGATGTGGGATTATATCCCTTAACACAAATGTATTAGTGCTCGCCTGCTGAGTCAAGAGTTATGTTTGCTGATCCAGTTGTGATGGTACTACCTATGGCATTGTCGTCGCTACATGCATCATAGGAAGACTTTGGTACTCGAAGGACATCGTGTTGGTTGGTCATGAAGTTAAACGCTGAAAAAGAATGGAAATACATATATTAAAATGTTGTAGTAAATAATAAAGACTAATAATTATTGATAGAAAACTCGTCACAAAAAAATAAACGGGCTACAGTTATGGATTAGCAGGCTAATTGTTTTATTAGTATCAAAATATTATACACATGCATTGCACGAACAAGTGTACTCGTAGAAATGAAAATGATAAAAACGCAAAGTTTGGCATATGTACTCTATTTAATTATTTATGTTAACCATCCATGCCAATTATTACCGTCATATTATTGTGTTAAGGGTAAATTTCACGTACCTAATTAGATACAATGATACTAATCAATTTTAGGTTTTGAAATACCTCTCTTAATAAGATTGATATTTTAAGATGAAAGCCGAATGTTGGTGGAAAAATGGAAAATGAGATAATTACCTAGGATGTCGCCAACCATGAAGGTTTTGCCGGAAGCCCAGTTGGCGTACGAGACTGAGTTATTAGGCGGTATGTCCCAACCCACTCCATCTCCAACCATGGGCGGAGATAGGCCCACCCTTATCCAAGCCCAGGTCCTCTTTAAAAAAAAATTTTTTTTTTTACAGCCAATTTTTCCACAATCCAATCTATGGTAGCCCACTGTCCAACCACCCAGCCCATTGTTCAAGCCCAGTTGGAAAAATGTCCAACCCAATTTGCTTTTTATATAAAATTAAACCCACCCAATTTGCATTTCTTCATTTGTAACTTGTTCACATGAATTTAGGCCACATTAGACAATGTATACTCCATTGAATAATTTGAATTTATTTAGGAAATGTTAGTTTGAGAATTTAGCCAATAGCAAATTCGTAACAAAATGGATGATG